AATCATAACAAAAGAAAGAAACGAAAAAAGAAAAATGCGAGCTTACTTTTCTTTAGTAGTCTTTTTGTTAACATATTCTACCTTCGCATCGTTACTAACTGTACAGACACAAATGAAAAAATAGAAAATCACCAATGGTAACAATAATAAAAATGTCTTGGTGTATATTTTTATTTCGTTTGTTGTTAATGTACTTGTTTTTGTTGATCTTTCTTGTTTGTCATAGTTGCATTTTCAAAAGAAACCCAAAAGAATCATGCAACGAACTTCAAGGCCAATGTTTTTTTTTGCGGAAAAAATTTTTGTGTTTGTACAAAAAGACATGTGGCATGCACTGCAATGATTCTGTTTTATTCTTACTTTTGAATTACGAAAGAAAAAGGGTGTGGGTCTAAAGGGAACACCCACATCCACACCCACTCTTAACCGATGACCTCTTCCCTCGCTATTTTGTCCACAATCATTCTTGAACAATGAATAGGACATTCCAAATTCTACTCACTAGTGAATTATCTAAATGATCATTTGCGGTAAATTCATCTGCGTAACCATGATTTCTTCTGTTAAGTCATTTGCTTGCAGAGATAATTCATCTACCTACGCATTTATATGCTCGTACGTTTCACATGTATTGACACAGATCTTGCAGATTTACCTATAGTCCTTTGGACGACAAGCACTATGCCTAAATAATTATTAGTTGTACATATTCAGACAGAATTTTAAATGCAAAAAGCAATGTGGTTAACTATAGATGTGAAAGCTCTCAGTTATTTGAAATTCTTATATATTGTAAAGAATTCAGCTATTCGTCATTCAAATGCGAAATCTCAAATGAAAAACGAAGGGCTTCTGCCAGTTAAAATATGTTTGTTTATAGAGAACTGTAAATACATTAAACTAAAATAAAAGTAGAACACGATACAGTAATTACTACAATTACTGATCCTCTTATTGATAATTCTGGTTGGAACCTAATAAACTTTCTTGTCAGCTGGTGGTACATATTCATATATTAATATATCGATATAAATGTTTCTCATCGTCTATAATTTATATCCAGTTAGGTCATTCAAATCGTGTAAAATATATTTAGTAAGATCTGGATTGATTGGTATATGGCAATGACTTTTCCTCTAGTGAAAGTCATCGATTTGACTTTGATTCTTTTTCTAAAATAAATTTTGTAATAAAAAAGGTAAAGAAATAGTCTGAATACAAGACTGATTCATTTTCTTGGAATTAAGCTACGCAAAATGTCATCTAATCTTTTTTGTCTAAATAAACTAGGAAAATATCTTTTGATGATTACTGTCATTAATCTATCGACATTTGATAGTTCGTATGATAATCTTATCTTGATTCCAACAGGCGATGTTAAATGGTTTTGAAGGATAGTTATCTGTTTTGATAATTGTTCCATCATTAAGTATATGTGTAAGTTGATTATTATAAGTATCTGCTATTATCCAAAGATGATCATTTAATGAACAAACTCTATAACTCCATCCTTGTCCAAGTGAATTTATCCAAATACATTCGAAAGATTTTATTTGAATGAAATTCAAAACGACTTTGATTGATTAATCCATTTTCAAGGATTATTGCGATATAACCACTATTATATTTAATATCATTAATAACTTCATTTTCTTGAGATATTATTTCCGATTGGTAGCGTTTGTTAAAATGAATTAGATGGACAAAGATTAAACTCAACGATGAATGGATTTTGGCCAAAAGTCGATGAAAATAACGATGTTTCCGAGCATATTCCACGTTTCCAAGGTATATTACTATTAAAATATAGTTGACATGGATCTAGAATCATTCTTTTTTCATGAAGACTAAAAATTTCCTTTGGAGAGATTAAAATGAATCGATTGAGTGTTTTTGACCAACAAATATCTTTTATTCCTTCTTGTGAAAATGACTTTTGATTAACACTTTTAAAATGCTGATTGATCAAATATAAAGTCGATTTTCCAATAACCAAAATATATGTTTGATTAGTCGCTAATGAATACCAATTATCAGATGGAAGTTTTATTATTCGTTTTGGAGATATTAACCAAGGATAGAGACTATTTCGTGTAGATAATGAAAAGCAATACGAATGAACTTGCATTTCAGGAGAAACTGAATTATTTGGTGAAGATTGAGGAGAAACAAAATCGTTCATTGGAGATGCAGGATGTTTAATATAGATTATTGAAGAAGGTAAACGAATAATTGATGAATCGATTTCTAATGGAGCAAATTTATATTGAAAATTTTTAAGATCATCGAGATTTTGTTCAATTGATTGAATTGTTTGTTTAATCCAATGAAGATAATCATTTTCTCTATTATGATTATTAATTAACAAAGTTATTGTATCTCGAATATGATCAAATTCTTCTTTGGCACTCTCTATATATTGATTATGTTTTTCTTGGCAGAATTTATCAATTATTTCATGAGCTTGAACGCGCCATTCTTCGAAAATCTTAATAAATGTTAATTCAGAAACTGAAATATTATTTAATCGATCAGAAACTGCATTTATGCTCTCTATTAGTGATGAACTTTGTAGATGTTCTCCAAAATTATTAATAAAAAGACTCTCTTAAGAATAATTACATGATAGAGAGACTAACATTACATACTCCTTGTCATCACACGCCATTCTTAATAATGTCGTCGTCTATTTTGCATGAAAAGAAGTTGTGTGTTTCCACACACATTGTTTATCAAAAAAAATGAAAAAATCATTTTTTGTGCATTTGTTATTCTTTGCTTTTTCGAAAAGAATATGAGAGAGATGATTTACTTAGAATTTGGAAGCCATAACAAGTTTTTAAAAATGTATTGAATAACAATTGTTTCTGTGTAGTTTTAAACAAAATTTCGAAAACGTATTATCTATCATTGTTTCATCGGTTTTGATTAAGAAATATAGTAAAAGCTTTGTGTCTTTTGTTTTGAAAATTGTTGAAGAATATGATGGCAACATTTGTCTTCATATTGAAAGAGAATAATGAAATCAAAGTTCAAATTTGTCTCAATTCTCAACATGAACAAAATATTATTTGAATAAGTTGAATTTTGAATTTTTCTTTTCAATTGATTAAGATTTATTGAATCATGATCAATGGTTCTCAAAACTGAAGATATTTATTCTTGTTTTATCATTCATGTCTACTAATGAAAAATCTTATTTATTTGACATTATTTATTTTTAATATTGATCATCAAGATTTTTTTTTATCCTGATCTTGAGAAAATTCTTTGTAGATTTATTCATAATAAATCTGACAAATTCTTTAATTATCCTTGTTCTATTCGTTCACTCGGTGAATATCAGATTCTTTTACTCTTCTCTTTGAAGTTCTCTTTTGAATCGCATTGTCTAGAAGATAACTAATTCACTCTTATGTTCGAATTTAATTTTCGTACACTGTTGCAATATTTGCAAAGTTTCTCTCCAACTATAGAAATGTGTATAATAATAATCCGTACAGAAAGAAAAAAAGATTTTTTTCCTTTTATTTTCATTCTTTGTGATGGTTCGAATGCTTTTTTTGTCCCCTACAATATAAAATAATTATGTGGGTTAGTGTGGGCAGGGATGGAGCCGGTTGAGAAATTCCGATGAAAACCGGTTAAAAACCGAAGGAAAAATGTCGAATGTTTTTGAACAACGATTTTTAGAAAAAACGGCTTCAAATATGGAGTAGTTTAGGAGCGTATGTGAAACATACTCGTCATAATGAATCTTTTTAAAGAGAATCTCAGAAAAAATGATGAATATAACATCTGTTTTGAGAACTTATTACGCATTCTGACAAAAAGAAACATGTGACACCTTAGTTTTTATGGCCAAAAACAGAGTTGACAAAGAAGATTTCTCCAAACGTTCAACCGGTGAAATTCCGGTATCTATCGATCCGGTTCTAACCCTGGGTGTGTGGGTCTTCTTTTCTGCCATACTTACGCCCACATCCACACACCCACAACGTTTTTGCAATAGAAAAAGGGTAGTTTTTTTGTTTGCTGATAAGCTACTTACTAATTCATCCGAAGCATGATTTTCAACAGACTGCTACTTATTGAAACATAGGCAAGAGAATCTTGACAACAGTAGAAACAACAAACTTTTGTCGTCGGCGTCGCCATCCTTTTCTATTGACACTAGACAATCTTCTTCGTTGAGTGTCAACAAAAAAAAATGTACATTAAGAAATAAAAAAAAGAAAAATTGTCGTCAAGCAACATGTTTGTTTAAATGAAAGACTATTTTCGCTGAATAGTATTCCGTCATTTATTCAAAATTTTATTTTTACATAGCATTAAAAAATTTTACACACTTAGTTCACAAAATGGGCTGCAGTGCATCGGCAAAAACAGTGAGTTCTACCATGATCACATTTGTATATGATGTAGTCCGAACCGATATAGTGTAGACGGTTAACCACTATTCTTACTACTTGGCTTCTCAGCTTACAAAGATAATTATATTTTAGCGGAAACTATTTTGTTTTTCATTTAACAATCGTCACAGAAGAACCCAAGAAACTATCCACAAGAATTGCAAATTGCATGCTTCCATTATTTCTAATTCTTAGAGAATTCGATAAAAGTCATCATAGTTAAAAAAATTGATATTCGATGAAGTTATCATCATCCGATGAAATGATCAGAACTTTCTTCATCTACTTGATTCATTCGTTTTCTTGAACTAATCATTGTTAACGATCCCTACAGTATGTTGAAAAATCTAATTTCACTCAATCCTTGAGAAGAAAATTGCATCACTTATATACTATACATTGCCCATATTGTTTTAATTTCTTTCCAATACTCATTGATTCTTCATGCATA